GTTAAATGTCGTTGTTTGAAGGAAAAAAAGTGGGGGGGGGGGAAATAAAAGCGTTTGTGATCTCCAGTCCCATGGAGTGATGAATTAGGGCTGTGAAATTGTGCTGGAGCCAAAGCAAGGCACACATGTGCACAAAGAGGTGTTTAAAGCCAACCTGAACCTGGCAAAGGTCTTTCCGCAAGACAAATGAGATGAGTTTGCCAGTCAGCAGCGAGCAGCAGGTTGCAGAGAGCTGGACGGTATCATTATTTTCTTATTTATTTGCATTGCAAGGCAGGTATGGCAAGAACTAAGCTGGAGCTGGCACAGCTGATCTCCAGAGGTGTTTTCCAACCTTAATTATTCCAGGCCACTGTGATAAGTAGAGCCAGCACGAAGAAACGCCGCCGGGAGCCTACGTGGATGGGATGGGGCTGAACTCCCCCCTCAGAGTGAAGCAGCAACCGGCGCGAGCTCAGGGCCTGGCTTCGACAGATCATTTGCCGTTCGGCAGTACGCTGGGGCCGTCGCTTTTTCAAACAGCTAATTCAAGAGAAAAATGCCACCATTAACCTATGAATGATTTGTCGCTGGAAGCCGGGCGCCGCTTAAAAGCCTGAGCATCCCATGCTCTTCGGCGAGCCAGGGGCTCTGCAGACAGATGAGGGCAGCCAGGAAAGCAGATGCTAAGCAGAAGCTTTTAAATAGCCAAACCCCAAATATTTGGTGGGGATTGAAAATAACTTGCGGCTCAGCAGCATCTCTCTGAACTGCGTGAAGTCAGTCGCACAGCACAGAGCCCGAGATGTTATTTTACCGCCCCAAAATAACTTTGCAGGGACAGGTGCTGGCGCCGCTGTCAAACACCCTCCCCTGCTCGCATGGCCTTGGTGCAGTTATTTAAGGAAGGCGCTGGCGGCAGCCGGCTTGTTTGCAATGCCGTGATGAAAAATAATATTATTTTTTCAGCTCATAGTGAAAAATAGGGGAGTTCTCCCAACACCAAAGGTCCTTTCTCTTGGAAAACGGAGCCCAGAAAGCACAACCCCAGCACACAGAGTGTATCAGAGACAGGGATGGGCACACGAGGTTTGGATTTTTCACTGGGAAAATGTGCCCGTTCTCAGGCTACTCATATTTGGGGGAAGCGGACAAAGACCTCGGCGCAGGCAAGATGCCGCGTCTGCAACAGGAGCCGGCGATTCAGCTCGATTTGATTCAGTGGCTGCTTGCCACCGCTAACCACTGATTCCCTCTCCCGCTTTTGGTTTCAGAATAGATGTCTGATCTATTCCAATTTCATTAGCTGCCATTTCAGTTCGTTAAGGGAAGGGGAAAAGCCACTCCACTCGTCAGCTTCTCTGGGAGACAACAGCCCACGGCGACCATCTGGGCTGTGCAAGGCAAAAGGAGATGGCAGCCCCCCCCTCCTCCAACATCACTGTCCCGTAACTCCTAAAGGCTCCTCCATCCTATACAAGACCCTAAATCCTCACACTGAAGACCTTTACATTACAAACCCCAGGCTTCTCCAAGTGCTCTGGTCTTGCAGTTCTCGTAGACAGAATAGCATACGGATAGTTTCACACGTTGACCGGTTTTCAGCGCCCCAGGTCAAAACAAAATGTCCTGGGGCTCTTTGGAAATCCCTGCCCCTACCATGCCCAGGCAGCTCCAAAAATAAGGGTTGATCTTGTGTACATTATCTAACAGCTCCTCTGGGGCATTTCTGCACCACTCTCAGCTGTTTTCAGCTGGTTTAAGACCCTGTATTACATCGGAACCACAACAAAATCTTCATCGCAGAGCCACAGAGACGCCTCTTTAATTAGCAAAATAGAAAACAGCCCTACAAAATCCAGCTCAAATGCAATTAGCGCTGGGCGAAGAGGAGGCCAAATGAAATTGCAGGTACAAAACAAGGAGGAGATGGCGTGGCAGCGAGGGTCCGGGGCCAAGCCCGTTCCCTACGGGACTCGCACCAGGCACGAGCCTGACCCATTCGTTACATGTTGGCGATATTATTCAATCAAAGCTCCCGGGAGGACGAGCGAGTGCAAGAGTGGAATGTAGCTACAGGGCCTGAGCCACCTTGAAGAGACGCAGCACCTTGCATTCGAGCTGGCCAAACACCCCGAAAACGCATGCAGAGACCCTAAAGCTGTCGGAAAAAAATTACCTCTGGCACTGGCAGCACGCGTGATGCTTTGCAAGGCGGCACTGTGGAAGCCAACCGCGTTTCTGTACCACTATTGCTCGTCTTTCTGCAGGGGAGAGAGGTTTTTGCAAGCTCTGATGGTAGGAAGGAACCTGCAAGGTCAAACCGTCCGTCCCCATCCTGTTTATTAAAAACAGCGCTATTTTTTTCCTTTTTAAACCAGCTACTATTTAACACAAATCCTTCACTGAACCCACTGCAATCCCAGTGCAGTCCCTGCCACGGCTCCAACCAACTGCATGACAAAACAGTCTCAAGCCTGCGCTAACAGTTTATTCCAGACCCTCTCATTCGATTTTGGGTTTATTTATACCCGTTATAAACAGACACAAAGATCCTGCCCTTTCCATGAGCCTGGAAAACCAACCCGGCCGCTGAATTCACAGAAAAGTTTAAATAAACCTCCATGACAAGAGTTTAGGCTCTGTTTTGGGGGGACTGGGGTTATGCTTTGTGCCACCTGAGCCCAGCTAAACCGATGGTGGACCAGGATTTAGGGAGCCAAGACCCAGTGTTTGCCCTGCAGGGAAAGACGTTATTTCTTCAGCTAAGTATTCCCACCCTTTATATGTCAAAAAAAAGCCACATTTGCTCCTGCAGGACTGCCAGATAAAAGGTGTGCTAAGAGCAAGCATTCATCTCTAGGATAATTTGGGGCATAAACAGAGTAGATGTGAGAGCAGAGCCACTTCAGCTAAAACATCCTTGCCTTATGGAGGTAACACAGGTTCTTCCCTCGCCTCTACATCCCGTCCCAGGAGGGTGCTAGGATGCCAGAGGTTGGCAGCAGAGGCTTGGAAAAGTTTGGGGTAAAAGCAAGGAGTCCTTCCCAGCCCCAGCTCTGCAGGCAACGTGTCTGCAGGAATCGTGCCAAATTTTCCTTGCCTCTCTGAAGAAGTTTGCCTTGAAGCTCGGTTTGCAAGAAAGACTGAATAGAATCATAGAATCATTTAGGTTGGAAGAGACTTTTAAGATCATTGAGTCCAACCATCAACCTAACACTGCCAACTCCACCACTAAACCATGTCCCTCAATACCACATCTACACGTCTTTTAGATACCTTCAGGGGTGGCGACTCCACCACTGCCCTGGGCAGCCTGTTCCAGTGCTTGACAGCCCTTTCACAGAATCACAGAACGGTCAGGGTGGGAAGGGCCTTCTGGAGCTCCCCCATCCCACCCCCCGCCAGAGCAGGGGCACCTCCAGCAGTGGCACAGGACAGCGTCCAGGCGGGTTTGGAATGGCTCCAGAGGGGGAGACTCCCCCACCTCTCTGGGCAGCCTGTGCCGGGGCTCTGATACCTTCAAAGGAAAGAAGTCCCTCCTCGTGTTTAGATGGAACTTCCTATGGTCAGATTTGCACCTGTTAAATTTCTTTCGGTGAAGAAATTTTTCCTAATATCCATCCTAAACCTCCCCTGGAGTAACAAGGTAGAGGACACACTCAACGACCACTGTTTTTTCCTAGGTATCACTGTTGCATGACCATCCTGATCTACTTCTTGCCACTTCTGGTGATAGGATGTGCCTACACTGTGGTGGGCATCACCCTCTGGGCGAGCGAGATACCTGGCGACTCCTCCGACCGCTACCACGAGCAGGTCTCAGCTAAGCGGAAGGTAAGGAGCTTTGAGCATGGTAGGAGCCACCATTCATACCCCATCCAGACTAACCACAGCCAAAAAAAACTTAATTGGGCGTGGAAATAGGTCAGGACTTGTTGCACAGTTGTTGCTAATGGAGCAGAGAGTGTCCTCCATGAATGTGCACGTCAACCAAGATGTTGATCACATATTCCCGGTTAGAAAGGTCTCCAAGACAAAAAGAGGTGGCCCCTCTTGGAGGGTGACACCCCACCTGCGGGGTGTCTGATGCGGCTTCCCTGCCCTCTCCTCTCTTCACAGGTAGTGAAGATGATGATCATCGTGGTGTGCACGTTCGCGCTGTGCTGGCTGCCCTACCACATCTACTTCACCCTGCAGTATTTCAACCCTGACTGGTACCTGCAGAAGTTCATCCAGCAGGTCTACCTGGCTATCATGTGGCTGGCCATGAGCTCCACCATGTACAACCCCATCATCTACTGCTGCCTCAATGACAGGTGGGGTTCAAGTGACTTTTGGCAGCATCTTGGTGCAACAGGGAGGGAAGGAGGGGGAGATGCAGAGGGGTCTGATGGAGGAGAGTAAGGATGGAGAGTTTTTCCAGGATTGTTCTGTCCCATCCACTGCCCAGGGGTGCTTCCAGCGGATGCAGGTCAATACAATACTCACCTAAATAAGTCTTTCCTAAAGCCCCTGTGAGATTTGAGGGCAGGTATCAAAACAGTCCCAACTCCCAAATGGAATTTATCAGTGGTTTTTCCTTTGCGTAGTGAAAAGTAGTATTCTTTTATTGTTGTTGTTTAGCAGTGCTTAGCTGTGTCTTCCCACTCCTAGTGAGGTCCTTTTGCCATCCCCTCATCCCTGCCTTTCACCATCTCTTCTGTCCCCCCCAGGTTTCGCGTGGGCTTCAAACATGCATTTCGGTGGTGCCCGTTTGTCAGCGCCGGCGAGTACGAGGGCCTGGAGATGAAGTCAGCCAGGTACCTGCAGACGCAGAGCAGCATGTACAAGGTCAGCCGGATAGAGACCACAGTGTCCTCAGCAGTTGGCACGGCCGAAGAGGAGCTGGAGGAGAGCAGCAAGGCCAAGCGTCTCTCCGTAGACATGACCTCCAACGGCTCCTCCCGCAGCGACTCCAAAACGGTCTCCGAAAGCTTCAGCTTCTACTCCAACACACTCACCTAAGCGGCTCCTCGGCTCCATCGGCCTCTCACGAGGGTGCCACCATCCCCTTTCCCTCACTGGGATGCTCCAGCGTTATCAACCCGGTTTGTGATGTGCCAGCTTTTTTCCATGCCGTTTTACCATCTCTTGCTGTGACGCTCACTCATCATCCTCAGGCGAGCACGAGAGCAAAAGCTTTGAATTAGTTTTGTGTGCTCCACCGTAGCTCTTGTCCAAACACAAGAGAGGTTTGGCTGGCCTCTGCCTTGCTCACTGCCTATCCAACCCATCACATACCAGGAGGGTGGATAGGATGCAGAAATGGGACAGAGCTGGGTTTTTCTCCTAAACCAGAAGTACAACATTGGCAGGCGCTTCCCTGCTCTCTGCAAGGCAGCAGGGGTCTCCTAGGGCATCCCACCCCACACAAAGATGAACCAGTCTTGCACTCTCTTCCTCCCACCTTTAATTTCATTCTCCCTGTCACTCCCAGTTGAATATCCCAAGGGGTATTCAATTCAAAAATCCAGCAAAAAATGCTGGTTTCAACTTTAGGAGCCTGTACATCCATGGGGCACCACCAGCCACTTGGCGCTTCAGCTCAGACGCAGGCATTTCCGCACAGCCTCCACTCATCTCTGGCACTCGCATCACTCTGCACGATGGTCTTCTGTTGCCCCTCCACAACACAGCTCACTGAAACGGGGCTCTTGAAAAGGATTTCTGAACTGAGCCAGACTTTGGTTGCTGTTAATCAACCGTATGTGCCAAAAGCAATCACTGTGATTTCCTGAAAGGCCCAAGGTGATGTCTCTTGGATAGATTTTGGAAGCCTGTGGAGGTCTGGAGAAGAAGAGACTGACCATACCGAAATGTTTTTCACAACCTGGAAATGTCTAGAGCTGCACAGAAAGGGGCATGGCAGGATTCCGTCAGAAAAACAAAAGTTTTGCCATTGTACAAGGTTTGAAGGGAGACAAGAAATTTGCAGACTTTTTTTTTTTTTTACTCGGAGGAGGGTTGAAATGATTCACTTCCATTTTCTGGATTTTGTTTTAATCGAGGAAACTTTCTTTCAATCCTCTTGTCTTTTGCATAAAACATTCAGTTTATGATGTGTCTGTGGATATATCTAATATTTTAGTCCTGTTATGATGGATAATTTTCACTGGGGCTGTTCATACAAAGGGCTCCTTTAGTCAGCAAATGTATGAACATACACTCAAAGGTGGGGAAAAAAGTAAATAACATGAGAAGTGGGCAAACTTGGCTTGTTGGGAACAAACCCACGAGTGTGGGGGCATTTTGGGGGCAGTTGTATTGACTGCTCCTTCCTGCTGGTCCATTCTCTCACTTTTGGTGTAGAAATCAGACTCCTAAAATGGATTCACTGCAAGATAGAAACGCTGGAGAGATGCAGGACAGATTTGCACAGGGCAAGGAAACGGCTCATTCATTTTAAGGCAGCTGAACATCAGACCCTGCTGAGCACACAGCAATTTCTGGAAGCAAAGCAGAGCTGACTTTTGGAGCTTTTCAATTCTTCAGCCTCCAAACTGGCTGTTGGAAGATCCAGTCATTAATAAACCCCCAGCCACGATGGTTCTTGGAGATAAAAATACACGGATTTAAGCAATGACTCCAGTAGAAATTAAATTAATGGGCAAATAGATGGATCCAAGAGCAACAAAATGGCTGCAAAACCGGATTGACAAGAATGATCATCTTCATTTTTACCCAAATTCCTGCCAAGTGCCATCAGTGAGGAGCAGCTCTTCCAGCCACTTCCACACTCTTCCTGACTGCCGGGACTACGCAACACTACAAACTGCCACGTGCTTCACACACACACTGGAATACGCTATTTTTTTCCCCTGCTTAAACTTACACTTCTCACCATTCTTGTCGCCTTAAGACATAATCCCTTGCCGCTGCCATCTGCAACCCCACGGTGCATGGAGAAGGGGGAATGGCATAAGCCTGTCTGGGGATTTGGTTTTGCCAAAAAAACCAAAACAAAACCACCCCACCAGCCCCAGGGAGCAGGGATCGAAGGAATGGGCGACGCCAAGGGTTGGACTGGGAGACTTTTCCCACTAACTCCACAGGAGCTGTGCTGCCAATACATGAGAAGGTGCTACAAATCAGAGCCAAATCCCGATTTACTCCCAGCTGCCAACCCAAATTCAAAACTAAAATGAAACCAAATATCTCAAAACAGTCTAGAACAAGGCAAGCAGAGATCTGCTCCATACACCCCGCGCACAAGAGTTTGTGTCAGGTTGTGAGCCTATAAAAGTCAGCATTTTTCTAAAAAAAAAATAAAAATAAAAAAAAGTGTGTGTGTAAATACATATATATATATATAACCACACTGCCCTTTTGTCCTCCATGTTTTATGCCCCAAGGATGCTGTGATCATGAGATGTTCAAAGATATGACAACTGTCTTCTTGCAAGGGACGCTCAGCTTGAAACGTGGGATAAGCCCAAGGGCGCGCACAGAGACTTGGAGTCAAGCTGACAGTTTACAGCCTGAAATGCTTCTTGTGCATCTTGTAGGAAACTATCTCTTGAAATCAAAGTGGGAAAAATTCCCACCTGTTCCAAGTAGTGCCAAGGACTGCAGCAGAGCCTGCCTGGGACACCCAAGCTGATGGGAATGTGTTAAAGGATCATTCAACAGACGGAAACCGATGCAGGAAAACCAAAATGTTCTGTGTAAATGGGTACAAGACGCTCAAACCCGGGTTTTCCTTCCCCCCCCTCCAAGTGTCAAGTTATTTTATCGGTGGAGGCAGGAATAGGGACGATACTGCCTTCACATTTAGGATCTAGGCCAACCCACAAGATGGGATGTTTGGGTCAGGTCCGTGTCCACACGTATGACATGCAGCAGGCAACATTAGCTGGTTTCACCAACCTTGGGATGCTCTGTGCATGCAAAAGCCACAGAGAAGTCTTCTTTTGAAGACTGAAAAGCCTAAAATAAGACACCTCTGCCCAGGCTTGGGGATGGGACATCTAACCACATGGCAAATCCAGTCTCTGCACTATTCCAGCTCTCCTTTCAAACAGGTCAGCTGTAATACAGAGGCTTTTTCTGGTTTATTAAGCCCGTTTCCCTGGTTTGCTTGCAGATCTCTGATTAGAAATTCAATTGCAAAGCGAGACAGTTTCTTTGTCTCTTGCCTGGCTCTCTGAAATGCAAAATAATAGCATCTGGAGAGAATCACTCAGCAGGTCTGCACACATCTCCTCCTTCGAGGCATACAGATAACTCCCACCATCATTAAGGGGAGCTGCCTAAGCCCAATTACAAGGCACTCCAAGCCAAAACCATTGCAGAAGGGAGCTCTGAAACCCAAATCCCAGCCTGAAGCCATCTCCTGACTCCCAGGGGACGGAGAGAAGCTCAGGTTTGCTTCCCAGCATTCAGAAATTGCTCTTCCCGCCTAGCTCCCAGCAGAAGCAGGGAGCAGCAAAGCCCCGTCTCCATACATACCTCGAGGTCTGCTCAATTTCTCCAAAATACATTTACACCCTGTTTCACGTGTAACCATTTCTCTCCCACCAGCTCAAAACAAAAAAAAAAAAAAAACAGCAGCAAAAGCCAAGCAAGAGCTGCTTGCTAGAAAGACGCGGCAGCTTTGCAAACGTGGAAGTCAAAGCAAATCAGCCAGTACTGATCCCCATTGTTTGTAGTGCTCGTAAAGGGATTGCCGGTAGACACGCAAAAGGTTGCCTGCCCAACCACTTATCTTTATTATTATTTTTATTTTGCTGTCCCTCCAGGGATGCAGTCGCTCCTTGACCCAGCCAAGCACACCGCATCTGCCAACAGGTAGCAATTTGGGATGGAAGTAGAGTATCCGCTATTTGCCATGTATTTCAGTAGGGCTGAGGGGGTGGGGGGTATTTTTAGCTTGCTGTGTGCTAGCCAGAGCCCTCCTGCAAGGTCATACAACCAAAGTGCCCAGGCCAAGAGCTCCTAGGTTTTGCTTACTGTTAAAATAATAACAATAATTAAAAAGTAATAAAAAAAAAACCCCACAAACGCACACCTCTAAGGCTTCAGGAGTCTGTTACTAATCAACTGAACACACCATCCTGCCCAAAAAACTCGTCTCCAACTGAATAATTAATACAGGAATTATAAGACAAAGTTTAACACGCAAATAGCTCCTTTTCCCATGGTGTATCTACCCAAAACCCCATCTCTGCTACAAGATAAATCCCACACAATCCCAAACTCAGAGGTCGCTGCACCCCGGAGAAGGGACAGTGAGTCCCAAGAGCAGCTGAGGACGAGAGATGACTTTCAACTTTCCATCCCAGACACAAAGGCTCCCAATTCTGAGCAACACAATACAGTCAGGGCCAGGAGGGAGCGAGGGGTTAAGATGGGCTGCGAAGTACATCTGGGGTTTGGTATTTGGTGTGTGGAGTGGCTGATAGGAGCTTAGCGTGAAGTTCTTTCCATAGTAGCATCTCTCCAGAGCAAAAGTCCAACCCTCCTTCCCAAAACAGTCTCTCTCCAATCGTCAGGTTTGTCCAAATAGATTTTCATAAATAAATGTTTCTTTTGTGAGATTATGTTGCAACCCATTAATGAGCCTGCAACAATGAGAGGTGGCAACTGGTGGCTTAGTGGGAGCAGGAGGAGAAGCGGTGAAACATGGCAAAGCCAAAGCTAGGTGAAAAGAGGGGTGAAAGGCAGCTGGTGGGTTTGGGAGGAACCTTCGACATGCGGGGTGTGCTCTAAAATTTCAAAACTACAGCAAGAAAAAGCATAGCCCGCTAAACTCAGCCATCCGCAAAACTGGGACCGGCCACACAGCACCGATTCCCAAAGCCCAGGAAAGGCTCAAATCGCTCCTGGAACGTGGGCAGGACTTACCGGCCGCTTGCTTCTCTGCGCAGGGCTGAAGCAGACGCGCAAGTCGCAGATCCCGCATCAGGGCCGGTGTTTCCACCTATTCAGCTGAGAGCAATCCCCCTGACGAAGCAGCTATCGCGCTC